AGATCAAACACATGTAGTTCAACCTTATACTAGAATTTGCTTTAAAATTGGACCAAAATAAATTCCATAAGCCCAACACATAGTGTATTCATACTCTTATTTCACATGAATTTTCAATGCATAAATAATTACCTTAATGCATGTAATATAATATTACATTATTTTAGATAACATGCCAATGAATCTCAAAAATTATAAAAACTAAAAGAACATGTTATAATTCACTGTATGAGATTCAATTGAATTTGCTTATTATTTAAACATGCAACGATAATAAACAAAACATCCTTAACAACACGTTAAAATTTCTTTATGAAAATTCTACAAAAAAACTCAAATAAAAGCATGAGAATTTCTAGATTTTATGTAGAATCAAATTAAATATTTTGCTCTTTAATGTGTGTGTCAATTAATAAAAATAATATTTAATGACATACAACAAGTCTCCTAAGTAAAATAGATTCTGAGTAGGAGAAAATTCTAAATTAATGTAAATACCACTAGCACAAATCAAGATGAATTCTACTGTTGCAATAGTTCTTCCTTTTCTTTAACAGTGATTTTCAAAAGTTATGCAATTAAATTACTTATTCTGATTCTACAAAGGCCCTGAATTGTTAAATTTTATGGTGTGAATTAAAATATCACATGTATAAAATATTAATTCACATAAAATATGATGAATAGTTAATTTGTTGTCAAATATGGTTCACAACTTTTAATTGATTTCTTTACAGGAGTAAAACAAACTTAAGAAATCTGGGAAGGTATTGACATTCAAGACTTTACGGGAGACACCAATTGTTATGTTTTATTCCACTTCTAACACCATTATCAAAGTTTCATATACGATTGAACGCATCAAAACATTCATTAAAATTGTTGAATTAAACGTTCTACACTATAAGATGCGGAAGTTCGATTCTATGTAGATGAATCAAATACTAAACAACAAAACAGATGGTTGGCTTTGATACCAATTGTGAGAATTAAAATAATTCAATAAAAAAATAATACTTCCTGCCATGAAGTTCAAGCCTTTGAATCTTTGTTCTTGAATGATCAAATTTTGAATGTATAAACAAAACCCACTCACAAAACACTTTCACAGAACCATATGGGAAAAGTGGAGGGAACAGAGTTTCAAGCCTATTCTATTCACAAAACAACATCTGTTTTTTATGACAATCACAGGCATATATATAGATAGGCTTGGACCCATGATCCATTGTAACTCCTAATAACTTCCCACTATAAGGGAAGTTGTAACTTCCATGACTCCACCATATTGGGTAGTGGGTATCACACACGTTAGTTACCCAAATAATGCAGATTAAAAATATATATATATATATATATATATAATATAAATAATATTTCTATAATAATATAAATAAAACTAATGTGGCATGTGGGCCACTTTATGAAGACATACTTACAGAACGCCGTTGAAGGTGTCACTGCTGCTTTGATGTCATGATTTGTAGATCTTGAATTATTAACAGCGGACAGGAGATTCTCTCCGGTGACATTAGAAGGCGGTGAAGATGATGAAAATGATGATGATGATGATGATGATGAAGGAGAAGAGATTCGTCTTGTGATCGTCAATCTTTGCAGAACACCTTTCAACAACATCATCACCGTTTTCAATTCTTCTTCGTATTTCTTGGTTAATGATTTGATTTCTTCTTTCTGTATTGATTTGATTTGATAATGATATTATTCAGTGAACGCAATTCAAAATTGCTATTGCCCGAGAGCAACATGGGTCGCTACTATTACCAGTCCAAGTATTGTTCTCTCACACTTTCCTACCTGCTTTTGTTTGAGGAAATTCTTGTGGCTGAGGTTGTCGTCGAAGGTTGATGAGCTGCAGAACTTTGGTTCGGCTCGCAATGTGAGGAAAATAAAATCAAAACTTGATCGAACGAGATTGAGCACTCGGAGAGCTCTCAAAGGGCTCAAATTTATGTAAGTAAATTCTTGTAGCTAAAGTCTATATCGGACGCTAATGAACCGCTGGACTCTGGTTCGACTCACGATGCGAAGAAAATCAAAGTGAAACTTGATCGGACGAGATTGAGCTTGAAGAGCTCTCAAAAGAGCTCAGATTCATCAGCAACACTACCGGACAGTCAGACGAGCTCTAAAACAAGGTGGAATCGCGATTGAAATTGTTTGCAGAAGACGATTTGCTCTAGAGGATTTTGGTAAATGCATTGGTACTAATTAAAGCTTCTATTAATAATCAATGTTATTTTCCAATAACGATAAGCACGCTAATTCGATGCTTAATTTGCTTAATTTTGCATGATTTTTAAATGATCTCGATGCTGTTGTTTTGAATTGTATTGTGCTTGATAGGAATTGTTGATTCGAGAGGGTTTGTTGTGGGGATATTCAATTGTCAGAGGAATAACGATATGTAAGAATTCGAACTGAAAAGTGTCAAAGGCTGATTGATCGATGATCGATTGAACAAATATTAAGAATATCGTCTCTATGTGATTGTCTGATCTTGATCTGTTATCTGTTGAACATATAAGATTTGATCTTGATCTATTGTCTGTGTGATTCTCACCTCTCTCTCTTTTTGTTTTTTATTGTTTTATTTGGTTTTGGAATTATTGTGATTGGCGTATAAAATACAAGAGTAAAAATTGAACATATTGTTTTGTTTGGTTTTGAACAGGTTGTTTTGTTTGGGTAAAATTTGGACATATTGTTTTGTTTGCTATCTATTAAATTGATTAAAAAAAATTAGATAGATAGAAGATTTACATAAATAAAAGTTGGACAGATAGAAGATTTACATAGATATAATTTGGACAGATAGAAGATTTGGATAAATAGAAAATTTGCACAGATAAAATTGTGACAGATAAAAAATTTGAACATATATAAAATTCACATAGAAAAAATGAATAGATAGACAACAAAATTTAAACAGATAGATATTAATTTAAACACATAGTCAACGAAACGTCAAACAGATAAAAAAAAAAAGTCTAGGGGTAAAATTGAAAATAAAATGTCATTAAAGACTTTTCACCAAATTATTTCATAAATTGTGAACCCCTCACCAAGGACGACGACGACGAAAAAAATAATAATAATAATAATAAATAAAATAAGCCACGGAACCCAATGACTTGGACAATTGTTAGAATGGTTTTTTTTTTTTACCAATTTTCTCTTTTTAATTTTTTTTTATCAATAAATTTGTTTTGTTTTTGTTTTTGTTTTTGTTTTTTTTTTTTGAGTTAGGTGATTGACTGGTATGAAAGGGTTGTCTTCAATTTCATACTGGACTCTCTTGCCGATAACAAATTATCTGTTTTCATTGAACTTCTGTTTCTTGAAATCAAATCATGAAGCACCTCTGTAAAGAACTCTCAGAAGATTGCTGGGAATTGATTCTGAATAGATTAGCAATCGATGACTTCAACCTCTTGCTAGTCTGCAAACTATTCCTCTCCATCACCGATCAACTTCGACTCAAATTGGATGCCTCTAACAAATTGTTCTACAGCCATAACTGTGAGGGTTTGTTGAGAGCTCTTCAATGATTCACTAAACTCCAAGAGATTGAGCTTCGTGATCCCATCTTCGGTGACAAAGCCAATGTCAACTACCCCCTTCGAAGAATCGCTTTTTCAGGGTTGGATCTTTAATCCCTCTGTCTTCGTTCTTTACAAAAACCTCCATTCCCCAAAACTTTTATGAAATTGGGCTCAACCATGAACAACTTGAAGATTCTATGGTGTTGTTGTGTCAAGGGTTTCCGAAATCACCACCTTGTTGCTATAGCTGATGCTTTACCCTGGCTTGAAGAGCTTGATATCCAGTTTTTCGGCTACTTTTGGAACCTTGGGTGGAGTTCAAAGCCTAGAAGAGGCGCAAAGCACATGGTAACTGATGCTGGGATCGAGGTAATGTCTTATAAGCTTCGAGGGTTGCGTAAAATAGGTATAGCAGGGCAGGTTGGTTGTTCTGATCGATCTCTCATTGCTTTGTCTTCAAATTGTGAGCTTTTGCATGAAATTCGATGTGTTTTGTGCGAAGTAACTGAACATGGCATTTGTTTTGTACTACGGAATAGTCGAAACTTGATTTCTCTCAATGCTGGACCGTATTACACAGTACAAGATGATTTGTTTACTTTTAAGAATTCCATGATTTATGCAATAGCTTTACGCAGTCCTGTGTTAGAAGCAAAAGAAGATCATGACCGACTTCTGTCTTCCATTTCAACATCGGGCATTCGATTAGAGAAGATTTTGATCTACGATGATTCTGGTTTGAGATTCCATGGACTCTCGAATTTCTTATGTGGATGCCCATCTTTGACACACTTGACACTTTGTTCTAATAATTTCCTCATTGACAATTACATGAGGGATTTATGCCGGTATCTTCCTAATCTTGTGTCCATAAATTTTAATCGGTGTTCAAACATAACCACTGCAACGTTCTTCATCCTTGCAAAAGAATTCCCTATGCTTTCGGAAATTGGACTGCCTAATATAAAGCCACAAGTTGAAGATGACTTTAACTTGGAGTTGAAGAGGAATTATCGAATTAGATCATTGGATTTGACTTGTTCTGTGTATCTGAATGATGAATTCATAAAAAAAGTAGGGGCTATTTGCCCCAATTTACATACTCTAAATCTTAATAGACTTCTCAGTTTGACAACAGAGGGCATTGGGGAAATTTTGAGGTGTTGCTCTCAGATTAAGTATTTGACAGTGGATAGAACTAGAGACATGGCGATCTTTTTGGAACAATTCAAAACCCGCCGCATTAAAATTGGACATGGTTATAACCTAGAGGGCCTCTATGACTGATATGAGGTGTCTTTGGCACTTGCATTCCGCATGTAAAGAAAGAAAGAACGTGCTAGGGTTGATTGCACTTGTGAATTGCAGAGGAGGAAGAAGAAGAATTGTAAGTGCTATTTGTTGTGCATTTTATTGCTCCATCATCACAATAAGACATAGAAGGGTGAGCCTGGTGTAGCGGTAAAGCTACTCCTTGGTGACCTGGTGGTCGCAGGTTTGAATCGCGGAAACTGTCTCTCCGTTTGTAGGGGTAAGGCTGTGCGTCAACCCTTCCTCAGACCCCGCTTAAGCGAGAATTTCGTACATTGGGTACGCCTTTTTTTATCATCACAATAAGACATGTAAGTTGGCTGCTTTCTAGGGCTTCACATGTTATGTTGTTTGCATCCATTTGAGTTTTGATCAGGTGCAATTGTTTGTTGAGGTTGTTTTATTGAAAAGCATTTAGCTTCATAACTTGCGTTTGAAGTCTTATTCATTAATGCCTGATTGGTTAGTCTTAAATCCTAGGTACTTGTACTTAGAGCTAGCAAAGTTAATCCGAATCCATGAATACGCACAATTAAACCCATTTAAACCCACCCAAATCTCTAATTTGTTTTAATCGGGTTGGACACGACTGCCCATTGGGTCTTGCTTAAGGCTAAGTTACATGCAACTCCTACGGACACGAAACAAAGATCAATCACGTAAAACAATATTTTACAAACCGCAATCGCTGATGGAACTTTTCTATGTAATAATAATGTGTATGTATATTACTGTGTACCTCAAAATTTATGCTATACTTCCATTGCTTTTGACACTAATATAATTTTTGTAAGTATAGACAAATGATATGCAAGCTCACGCCTTAGACCAAATTTTTAGACCCACCTCTGTGTTTAACTTACGTGGCTAACCCATTGGTTTTGTCATGTTTTTATTTTTTTATTTTTTTTATTTTGGGGAAATACCAAATAAAATTTAAAATGTGTATTGAGAAGATATATAGGGTTTGTGGGAAACTAACTCATTGTACTCTCTTATCATTCTTTCGTTCTCTCAAGTCTTGCTCCACAGTTATGAAATCGATTTGAATTATCAACCATGGCAAGGTAGATCGCTTACACAAGTAGTTTGTAGCATGAAAATTTGTCACCTTAAGATCATTTATTAGGGATATATATATATATTTTTTCCGGGTGGCGCTAATAGCCCCCCACCTTTTTTCTGGGGATCCCCGCCTATTGATATTTTTTTTTAATGACAATTATAATTTCAATTAAAATTACTATAATGGACACAAATTGAAATGGAACACCCACCCTCAAAATCGTGGCAGCATCAGCAGCTCCTCCACCTAATTCTGATATGTACTCCCACCACCACTCCCATTTCTACCTAAGGTTCTCTCTCTCTCTCTCTCTCTCTCTCTCTCTCTCTCTCTCTCTCTCACGCGCGCGCGTAAATGAGGTTGGGTTTTGATTTTATTTTTTGATTTTTTGAGGTCTCTGTTTATGCTGATGTTTTGAAAAAAATGGAGATGAAATTGCCCTAAAGCTGACATGTTTTGCCGATATTGGACATCTTCAACAATCCCTTGCTGGCTTTCATCACCATCAACAAGATCATGATGTTGATTTAAGCCCAAGTAGACCTCTCTCTTTCTCCATCTCTAAACTTCCTCTCTCTCTAACTACTCAACAATACTGTTGTTCTATTTCTTGGTTACGCTCTATAGACATTATGAAGACATGCAATGTTGCTGTTGTCTCTAATAACTTTCGGTTTTTGACATTTTGTCTTTATTAGTTAATTGGGCAACATTGTCATGGGTTAGAGAAGTGGAAGGGGCGAATCTGTTAGGTTATACTTTAGTGATTGTCCAAATTGTTATGGGGTGTGCAGCTAGATTGGTGTGTAATGTTTTGGAAAAGGGATAATTTTGGTATTATGTGGGGGTCCTTAGAAATTTTATCAATGTTTAAATTTTATGAGTGGGGGTTCAAAGCCATTGGATCCATATTCCCTCTGTATTTTGCTCTATTTTTTGCATTCAACTTTGGCAGGAAGACTTGTATCTTGAACTCTCCAAGTTTTCAATGTTTAGCTATCCAATATGCGATGTTATTCCATTCCATCACAATAAGGGTTGTAGCCACCAGCTGTAAGTTGGCTGTTTTCCAGAGCTTCACATGTCATGTTGTTTGCAATCCATTTGAGTTTTGATATGGTACAATTGTTTGTTGAGGTTGTTTTATTGAAAATCATTTAGCTTCATAACTTGCATTTGAAGTCTTATTCATTGATGCTTGATCGATTAGTCTCAAATCCTAGTTACCTGAACTTAGGGCTGGCAAAGTTAACCTGAATCTATGAACCCACCCAATTTAACCCATTTAAACCCTTCCAAATCTCTAATTGGTTTTAATCGGGTTTGTAAAGACAATTTGCCTTAGCACACAAGTTGTGGGGGGTTGGCCACGGGTGTCAATTGGGTCTTGCAAAAGACTAAGTTACATGCAACTCTAGTGACATGAAACAAAGATTGATCAAGTAAAACGATATTTTACAAAACGCAGTCACTGATGCAACTTTTTTCTATAATGCTAATGTGTATTTATGTTGCTAGTTTTGCATTTCCATATTTACTATAAGCTACACGTCCATTGCTTTTTTAAGTCAAAAAATTTTGGTTTCTTAGTACCACCACCTCCACCTCCACCTCCACCTCCACCTCCACCATCCATTGGAAAAAGAATTCAATAAAGTAAACGGGTTGGTTGGGTTAATTTGTTCAACTCGTATCCAATTTAACCCAACCCATTTAGACTTGTTTATTAAATGGACGGGTTTGGGCTAAGTAGTTTTTAACGCACAACAAAACCTATTTTGACTTACCCAAACCCGCCTATTTGACATCTCTATTTATACTGCATCTTTATGAGTTTTGCTTAACTGATGTGATATGGAATGAGATGTTTAGACAAGGCCATTAGAAAAACTAGGATGGTAGTATAAGAGCTGGTCGTTAAGAAATGAAATTAGAGACAATGGCCTTTATTTTACTATCATCTCAATGAGTTTCTGACTGTAATGCAAACCAAAATTTTAGAATTCGGAACATGCTTTTTAAGTATAGAAGTGAATGATAATGTTTGAGAAATTGGAACCAGTTATGCACGTGGCGGGAATGAAACCATTATCTTTCATTCTTTTAGAATAGTGAGGTACCTTGGTGTTACCTTTCAATGGAGTACCATGTTTTCTAATCCACATACTGAAAACCATCTCCTCCCATTCCTTTTTTATTCAAAAAAAAGTTTAGAAGGAGGGGAGGCTACCCCATTCCAGGGCCAGGGAAAGCGTTACGCAATATTACCCATCAACAAAGGACTGTCGGCAGCGGGACTCGAACCTAAGCCAAATGGGCGAAGGGAACAAGTCTTACCAACTAAACCAACCCGTGTTGGTACCATCTCCTCCCATTCATGTTTTTGCTGTTGGTCAAATAATTAGCTTAGCTGGTTGTACCAAATATAGGCTGTTGAGAAGGATAGGTTTAATCCTTCTGTAGAAATGACCGAACTTCTTCAAGAACAACTCACACACTGTGGAAAGAGAAAATACACTAGTGTAGCAGAAACCATGTTGATTTTCTGCTTGCTTGCTCTTTCACCTCTTCTGTCTTCTTTATCCATGTGCTGCTTTTACGTGTAGTTTTGTCAAACCTAACTTTCTAGTACTTGCATGGTTTGTTTGGTATCATTTTCATTTTTTCTGTTTTTAATTTCCAAAAAACATAGAAAGCTTGTTTGACAAACTGTTTTGGAGAAAGTTTTATGGAAACATCTAAATTTTTGTAAAACAACTCAAATTATATTTTTAACCTCTATAGTTTGACCCAAATTTCACTTTGGTCCATATTATTTCAATTTGATCAATTTATTTCCTAAATTTTAAGTGCAATTTGTAAGCTCATGGATTTAGGCTTCTATACTGTAGAAGAAAGACTTTAGGGGTTTGTAGATAAAATAGAAACTGTAATTGGAAAATTTTCCTAAATGTCTGGCTGTTGGATTTTAAAATTGTGGTAGTTATAATCTCTGGAGACAACAACTATTGATTCGGAGTCACTAGGGTTAAAGCTATGAAGCACTGACGCTTCAAAACAAGTGTCGTATCCGTGTCAGGCACGCGGACACTTTTGGGGCACGTATGGGACACACCATATAGCGTGTCCCCTTATTTAATTAATTTTTTTTCAGGAGACACACCAGACATTTCAAGGACACCAGAGACATGCCAAGTTGTCTTTTCTTCCATTTTATTTAGTGTTTTTGATGAATATTGAATGTTTATTAATTTTTTCTTAGATTTAAATATTTAATAGATCATCAATAAAAAATATATATAAATTGTAAATGTTAATTTAAAAGTATTTTTAAAAAAAAAATTAGAAATAGTATTTGTTAATATTGATTGTATGTGGATGTAATATTAATTTAGATAACAAATAAAAATATATGAAAACATATTTTATTGTCGTGTCCCCGCCTTGTCCGTGCCCCTATTTTTTTGAAATCGTTGCGTCCCGTTTTCGCATCCATGTCCGCATCCCTATCGTTGTCTGTGTTTTTTAGGGTTAAAGTAAAGATAAAAGGGAATAAATATTTTAATAATCTTTGAAAGAATCCATCTTTGGAAGTTTGCCTCCAAATGCCATGGGAAGTAAATTGAAAAGCTTAATAATTTCCTATCCATTTGGTGTGTCCTAGGGAAATTGTTTTAATGATTAGCATAATTATTTAATTCACATTCCAAAAATACACATTGTGTAGCCATTGCTCAATCAAGCAAGGATGTTTTGCAATTCGAATGATAAGAAGTTTGAGCAGTCCTGGGAGAGTGAAAGGGAGAGCATGGACTGTAAGAAGGGTGAGATGGATGTGTTGTCTCAATTCTCTTGGGGCTGGATTAACGGAAGAAATTGCTTTGAGAGTATGTTGGCAAAGCGGTTATTG